ACGGGATGATCAGATCACCATCACCGAGGCTATATTGAAGGCTGCAGCAGGTAATGAGATGAACGGAGAGGCAGTTATGGCGCTTCTTCTCGGCCGACGGGGCGACCAGATCACTATCACCGAGGGCGTGGTGGAAGCTGCGGCAGGTAATGAGATGAACGGAGAGGCAGTCATGGCGCTTCTTCTCGGCCGACAAGGCAACCAGATTACTCTTACTGAGGGTATAGTGAAGGTTGCGGCAAGTAACGAGACGAATGGCGAGGAAGTAATGGCACTTATACTCTGCTGCGGGAGAAGGCATATCGCGATTACCACGGAAGCTGTGACGATGATAGCACAGCTGTTTGACGAACGAATAATGGCGCTTCTTCTCGACCGGTGGGGTGACCAGATCACTATCACTGAGGATGTGATGATGGCTTCATTGAACAATTCAAGAAGTGGCAAGGAGCTGATGAGGCTTCTTCTCGACAGACAGGGGGAACATATCACAATCACCGTGGGTGTGGTAGAAGCGGCGCTAGGAATGGGACACATCGAGATGGTTAGGCTACTTCTTGATAAGGCGGCCGACATAACTTTTACAGACAACAACGGATGGACGCCAGTCCATGCAGCATCCTGGAATGGCGATATCGAGGTGCTCAATTTTGTTCTTTACAAGGGGGCTAATGTAAATATTAGAAACAGTAATGGATGGACGCCATTACATGCAGCATCCTCGAATGGACATATAAAGGTTGTCAAGCTACTTCTCGACAATGGGGCCGATTTCATGATGGCAACCAACAACGGATGGACTCCATTAAATACAGCATCCTCGAATGGACATATTGAGGTTGTCAAGCTACTTCTCAATGCAGAGGCCGATTTCACGATTGCAACAAATGATGGATGGACTCCATTAAATACAGCATCCTCGAATGGACATATCGAGGTTGTCAAGCTACTTCTCGACAATGGGGCCGATTTCATGATGGCAACCAATGACGGATGGACTCCATTAAATACAGCATCCTCGAATGGACATATTGAGGTTGTCAAGCTACTTCTCAATGCAGGGGCCGATTTCAAGATTGCAACGAATGGCGGATTAACACCATTATATGCAGCATCCTTGAATGGACATATCGAGGTTGTCAAGCTACTTCTCATTACAGGGGCCGATTTCACGATTGCAACAAATGATGGATGGACCCCAATAAATGCAGCATCCTCGAATGGACATATTGAGGTTGTCAAGCTACTTCTCAATGCAGGGGCCGATTTCACGATTGCAACAAATGATGGATGGACTCCATTAAATACAGCATCCTTAAATGGACATATCGATGTTGTCCAGCTACTTCTCGACCAAGGGGCCGATTTCACGATTGCAACCAATGACGGACGGACGCCATTATATGCAGCAGCATCGGTAGGAAATACCTTTACGACCAGGCTACTACTCGACAAAGGGGCCAATGTTTCGATTGCAACCAACGACGGACGGACGCCATTATATGCAGCATCATCAATTGGACGTGTTGAAATTGTTGAGCTCCTTCTTGACAAAGGGGCCGATGTTACGATTGCAACCAACGATGGACGGACGCCATTATATGCAGCATCAGTCAACGGCCACATCTGGGTTGTTAAGAAATTGTTAGAAACACCGGGTGTTGATGCCAACACACCGGACGACCTTGGCCGCACAGCCCTCTTCTTGGCTTCTAGGTATGGGCAATATCAAGTGGTGCAAGTCTTGCTATCTGAAGGGCGCGTCAACCCCGACAGCAGGGATTGGATGGGTTCAACACCGTTGTTTGCTGCGGTAGCGAATGGCCACCTTGATGTGGTGAAGCTTCTCATCGCTAGAGTCGCGAATGTGGAGGAGCAAAGGGGCATCGGGCGGAGTCTGATATGGTGGGCGCGGCGCAGTGGCAATCCTCAGGCCATTCAGCTCCTGGTGCAACATGCCGAAAGAGTTGGCAATTGTATCCCTCATGATCCTACTTCCAATGATGGTGTCTCTACTCCTTTTGATCCCGAAGTTTCTTGGTGCGACGCCTGTACGCTGAGTGTCCGGAAAGGTTGCGGCTACATTTGCAGTTTATGTAGTAGTGGAAGCTTGTATTTGTGCGACGAGTGCTTCAACCGAGGTATTCGATGCTATGGCGAATCTCACGTTCTAATGCATCGGTGAGCATCTGGAAGGCTGCATGCCTCGATCGGCTAAGCTCTCTGCCTAGCTCCTGATTCCGCCTGCCCTACATGTAACACAGCCAGTCAGGTCGACGTTGACTCCATCTCGAAGTTCAAGTTGTCCGACCCTAGGGTTGCAGACCCGGCTCGGATGTAAGGCAGCATATATCAGGGGCAAGGATCGTAGCTTGCGGGGGGATGGTCAGCGACTTCGCATCCTTCCAGACAACAGCTCCATGGCCTTTGGTATACGTCACGCAGAGTGGCGGAATGTTCATCAGTGAACTTTCGAGGATAGTTCCTTCCATACCAGGTTGATTACAGTACGCAGCGACGAGGTTTTGATATGCTACTAAGAGGTGCGACAACCTATTAAGTTTCTCACACACGGGATTTGCCAAATGGTTATGAAAATCCAGATCTTCCACAGTTCGCCCCAACTATTTTTAGGAGGATCGACGGCAAGATTTGCGATCACGACCTCACTCCATCCATTGCTTCTGTCAATCCACTTTCTCTCGTCCTCCCCGCCCTGGTCTCCTATCCATTTCATCTCTTCCTCGACCTGTTTTTGTATTATATCTCCATCAGCAACAACGTCCATCCCAGATCAGAATCTCACCTCCAGGACTGCTTCACCTTCGTCGAGCCTCAATTTGAAGAACGGCTTCGTCGTCACTTCGCCTTTCTGTATGTGAGCCTATTCAGTGGGCTTTTGCTACCACAGCGCCCGCACCAGGATTTCACCCCGCAAATTCTCCAGACTCTACCGAGAATTGCCTCTCGATACTGCTTATACCGCAATATTCCGGGGAAAGTAGAGTTGGCTGTCGACCCCGTCATCAAGCACGCGAACCTGTCCATCAGCAACCCCAGTTCTCCCCTGTCCGAGTCTGCTCTGGTCCCCCTTCCTCTTTGACCTCAGAAAACCTTGTCTTCAGGCCTATAATCCTCGCCTGCCTCGCGAACCGCGTCACGTTGTACCGATTCCACTTGCCACGCGATCTGTACTGCCGAAAAAGCAACACCCGATATTGAATCTCGCTCCGTTAGTGACATCGCAGTCCACACATCGAGTCTCGTTCAACGGCCGGAGGGACGGAACGCGCCACAATGACGCAGGCCGTGAAGCGTGCCTGCGATGCTTGCCATAGTCGCAAGGTGAAGTGCGATAGTGTCAACCCATGCCGCAACTGCGGTCAGGCTCAGCTCTCGTGTACCTACAATGCGATCCCCCAGAAGAAGGGACCTAAGGGTTCCCGCGCAAAGGGTATCAGCGAACTGAGAGAGACACAACGACAAACGAGTCTGTCAGCAAAGGTCCAAAACCGGATCAATGGAGGCCCTTGTGCACCACCAAACCCCGGCTTGGCCCCGACTCCAGGATTCCTGAAGAGCGAACTTGTCAAGGAGTGCATCGCCTTCTTCTTCGATAACCTATACCCCCAGCTACCGATCCTCGACCGCAACTCTGCGGAACAGCAGGCGCTTGAAATGGAGCAGAACCGTGGCGCCTACTGCCTGTTGGCTTCGCTCTGTGCCTTCGTCATGCTCTAGCCTGGTATGAACATGCTTGCTGGTGATCCTTACAACCTCGATTTGTTCCCTGGAGCAACGATCGTTTCGAGCTAACTTCTTGTTGAAGAAGCTGCCAAAGTACGTAAAGGCTACGAATATCTCGACTCCATCAGCCTGAACGTCTTGGCTACCAACTTCTTCCTCTTCGCATGTCACTATGGACTTGAGTCGCACGATCGTTCTTGGTATTACCTTCGTGAGGCTTCCACCATGATCCACCTAACTGGCATGCACCAGGAGGATCACTACATGAAGCATGAGTCTGTAGAAGCTTCACGTCGTCGCCGACTATTCTGGCTGGTCTACGCCACCGAGAGGTAAGAGCCATCTCCTCTGGTTTCTGGATAGAAACCGACTAACAAATCATTCTAGGGCTTATGCCCTCCAGCGCAGCCGTCCTCTAACCCTGCAGGCGACCATCAATCTGCCCACAGTGAATGATGACATGACCGACCCCCTTGCTCATCATCTCAACGGCTTTCTCATTCTAAGCAATCTCTTCAAGCCCTTTGACGACACCTTCAACAACACATGGAGCAAGGCTCGCCACAACCTGTCGCCGCAATACCTCGCCGGTATGCAGAAGCAGCTTACCGATCTTGTACAGTCCTATGAAATTATTGATCGAAATTGATCTGAAGTAGCCGAGAATCATGGCCCTCGAGCGTCTGCAGACAAGCGTTCCAATTTGCCGCTAGAGCAACCATGCAAGAGGCTGATAAATGTACTTACGGGCGCTTCGAGGGTACGAGAAGGCGTGAGGACCAGATCAGGACGATTCCTTGGAGCTGCTCGAGATTCACCTATCAATTTGGAGTATCTCATGACCTTGTTTGATTGTACAAACGCCAACCCACTATCGTCTATTGGCTTCTTACAGCGCCATTATTGAGCCATGGCCACTAAGCTCGAGTATCTCGCCTCCAGCCCAACTTCTGTATCACTAGGTACTGTGGACAGTGTAGTGGGAATGAAAGCCGATGGCCGAGAACTGGGCTGACCCACTGAATAAGATGTTTGCACTCTCTCCGCAATTCCTTTTGTGAATGCAACTGGGACAACTTCCCATCTCATTATATTGCACGTCTTCTAAACTCAATATCATAGCTTGTAGTTTATAAATAGCCAACACCCGACTTACACATTGCTACCTAAGTCTCACATCTGATGATCGGAGAGGGTATCTGGGAGGTGTGAGTGGCCACCAATCCCACTGTTCTCCAGTGATCTTTTCCACCCAAATTATAAATCACGTCCGCCAGACAGACTCAGATCTCCAGCACTACGCATCCTAGGCCGTGAATGCTGCTGTAGAGTCAGCCCACATTCCAAGCTACGAAAGATATATAGCTGACTAACTAATAAGATCATAGCTTAATTAGTGACCTCGCATTGAAAGCTTCCTACATCTTAGCGAGATGTGGTCCAGAACCGCACAGGCCTTCAATTGTGCTTTTAATTATTCCAATTTGAGTCTAGATGTCGAAATGCATAGATAGAAGGTTGTGGTGGCTCTTTACCCAAAGCTTATTAGAGTACCCTCCTGCAGGATTTGCAGGCCATGTTCTGGGATCAACCCATTCTCGGATTCCAGAATGCAGTCGTGACGAGGAATATTGTCATTCGCTACCAGAGGTTCAGGGAATGATTCTGGAGACGATCCCAAGACGAAGAATTGTCTAGCAAGTAAATCCTTAATCACTTACTGCTTGATTGCCATCCAATCATGGACGTACCATCTTCAAAGGACGTGTTTCAGGACGGGACGACGGGCGTGGCGGACCGGGACCGAGAAACCATCCCCTCCCCTTGTTCAAGGGGAATGAGCTAACGAAGCACTACCTGTGATTGGTACCTTTGCTGTGCCTCAAGGGAAGCCTTGGCTCTATGCCGTCTGCCTTCCAAGAGATAGCATGGAAGCCACAATCCTGAACCTGCCCGCGATTAACCGGCCTTCGTTTCGGGCATACAAGACAGGGTCTATACTCTGGCCCCTGATTCCGTATCCCCAGCTCGCAGCAAAGCCATTTATGAGTCGGCGCGTGATCTTGTGCCAGCGACTTGAATATCTGGAGGATTTAAACCCTTCCCTTCTCTGTACTTCTTCTTTTCTGTCTTTTATCGATATTTCCTTCTGTTACACAGTCTAAGTTGGCTGCTAATATACCATTTCGATTTACTCTGCTATATAACCTTCTCAACCGACTTAAAAGGAACTACAAGCTATCGAGTATCAAGAGAACCCAGGAAGTCCACGCCTAAACCATTACCTCCTGGTTTAACAAACACAATAAGGCTATTCCACGACAAGGCTCAGGAGCTATTGCTTTCCTGTTATATCTCTTTCCTGAACAGCAACCGGATCATATTTTCAACCTACCAACAAGATAACTCGAAAAGATAATAGAGCGAGTATAATACCTTAGGTCATCTCGAATAAGCGATCTGCAGAGGTGGAAAGCTAATAATAGTCCAGACTTTGCGTCTTGCGTTTAAGCGTGTGATAATTATAACAGACTGCGAACCTAGGCTCGGTCTGAATACAACTCTGGATGAGATTAATAAGGCCCTTGATCAGATCGCTACCTTATCACCATTCTTATTTATAGCTCTGAAAGAGAGGATTAAACAGAAATATAGCCAATCAATCCAAAGGGATAATTTGCTTTTAAGACTGTTCCGGAGACTACGTAGCTCTGAGGCCAAGTGGATGATTCGCATACCATTGAAGAACTACAGTCCGGCTCAGGTCCAACGCTAGCAATCAATAAGGCCAGAAGAATCAGATATTACCACCAACTAGCTAGCACCAGAAGAATAAGCATAGAGCGTAAGTATAATGGAGAATATTATTAAATTTATATCGCTCTGACTGAATCTGGAACCTGCATAAAGATTTTCTCGAAGAGTAGAAGGGACTCAACTATCAACCGCATAGGAATCTATCGCTTACTGCGGGGCAGCCTTGGACTTAATACAATAGAATGTAAGATTAAGAAGCAGTATATATTGGAGGGCGAGCTGCTGGTATAGAATAATAATTATGGGAGAATCAAGCCTTTCCACAAAATTCGTAAATATATAAAGTGATCGGGACAACTACTGGGCACTGATTGGGATTCGCCCGTTGACTTTAGTGAGCATCTTATAATCATATTCTACGGCATTCTGGTACTGGATAACACTCTCTGTGTCAGAGATAGCCATAAGATACAGCGATAACTGCTTCAATCTCTAGTTCACCGCATTCCAGGCCGTACCGATATCGGATCCCGCGAGATAGTCGAATTCTCATCGTTCACCGCTGCTGAACAGCTTAGTGAAATATTCGCTTGAGCTATTACACAACGGTAGGAAGGTCTCGTATTAGAAGGTTACGATAATCTATACTTCTCGTTCGATACAAGCAAATCGTTTATCAAGCTAAAAAAGGATTACATTCCAGGCCTTGGAGATACTGTCAACTTCGTTATGATCAGGGGAAGCTGCAATACGAATGATAAGCAGGAGCTTGGAATTGGGAAGCTATAGTAGACAGCATTCTATATTGCATATATGGAAAATAAAAATAAGCTGGGATATTACAATTCTAAGCCGAGGTTTCGCATTATAGATATACTCAACAGGCACAGTATCTCGAAAGACGATATCATATACCTCAATCAACATAGATATTTCGGACGAGCACCGTTCATCACGTCTATACCGGAGTTCGATATCATAATTAAGCCCGGACGGAAGCTACAGCCAGCCGAGCTATTCAAACATCCGTTTACGGTGGAAGTGGTCGGCGCTGGCTTCGACAAACCTACCAATACCGCGTATTTTACTCTGCGATTTCCACGACTGCTCAAAGTTCATAAAGACCGCTCGTTCAAGGATGTTATTAGTTTTGCGGAGCTGCAGGAGATAGCCACGAAGTGCTAAGGAATACCTGATGATCTACGAAGAGAAGAGGAAAGTTAGCTTCGGAGATTGCAAAGCAGCGGGCATCTGGGCGGAAGATCGAGGAAGTCTCACAGCGGCAGTTTATCTTCACCCGCTAATGGTTATGTAAATAAGCAAGGCATGTCGGATCGGGATAGGGGGATAACTACTGGGTCTCTGCATCAAGGTAATACTTCCTTCCGCTCGTCAAAGCGGAAGATGGCCCCAGAGGAGGCCTTAGCTGGCAGCTCAATTCTCAAGCTAGCAAAGCAAGATTAATGTCAGGGATGTTCCAAGTTTTGGGACGGGATGATTAATCCCAGTTTTCGGACCAGAGTAATAATCCAAGTTTTGGGACTATAGAATACCGTCAAAAAATCAAAGGTCAGAAATTTGTTCAATTAATCTTATAATCATCAAATATAGAGCAACATGTTTTGGCCCTGTAGCTTGCATGGCTGAGCTTTTATCGTCAATACCGTAGCGAATAGCGGCTGCTGCCATCTGTTCTTGCGTCATATCTTGACCGTCCACATATACAACCACGTACAGTACAACACCCTATACGACATCTCGCTCTCCGCTCAGATCGGCTCTGTCGACATCCGTTCATGGGAAAATATGCGGCTTCAACGTAGCGCCTAAATTGAGGGCTCGAGACCTAAAACTTGGTCATCAGACCTTCCAAATCAGATGAAACTCTTTACATTCCCACCACATAATTTTCTTCTTTGGGAAAAAATCTTATGTTTTCTGTAAATAAGCATATCAACGCTTAATTTTATGGCTTAACTGAGGTTGTACAGTACTGCTCATATTCGGCTTCCTCTTCTCACTCACACTGTTGACACATCGAAAGGTCCCACACAATGTGAATAATTAAGGCAAAGATGAGTTATACCTGTGATTTAGGTACAGTACATGCCTTTAGTAAAGGATAAGGTAGTTCTAATATCGGTAATTGCAGCCTCAAGCAGCAATATCGTATTCACACGTATGCATGCATGTATACATGTTTTGCGTAGTCTCTACTTTTCAAAATTATAAGTTTATATATGTATATATACTGTATCTTAGAGATTTCATAATTCAAGCGAATGATTTTGTAATTTGAGCACCCGACCTATACAGTAGTAGTAGAGAGTAAGATTCTAAATTCTCCACTCCTCTATAGCGGATATGGATGAGATAGTGTCGGGGTGCTTAGGCCCCAGAACCTTACGTTGAGCTTCAGCACATCTTTCCATCAATTCCAAGGCATTATTGTGTAGACCTTGTGCTCTCCAAGTCAAGGCTAGATTGGCCATGCTGCTCAGCGTAGAAGGATGGTCAGCTCCTAGTTTCATCTTGCGAGTCTCCATTACTTGCACCTCTAGCTTCTCCGCCTCCTCCCATCGTCCCTGGTTCCTGTATGTTGATGCAAGATTGCCCAGACAGGTGCTTGGGGAGAAGCACCCTGATACGATCTGGAGCGGGGGTTGCAGGCTCATCTCCGTGCTTAGCTTGCATCAAGGCGGCCCGTGGCTAGTGCAAACCGGACCGTTGTTCGAACAGCTTCCAAGTTTGTCATCCATTTCTGGTTGTCTGACGGTGGCTTTCCTCCCATGTAGAATGAGATGTTGCTTCTTTGGGTATTCGAGCATTGAAGCATGCACTCGACGCTGCTTAGGCTCGCGTATGAGTAGCAGCGAAGTCACATATAGATCA